GAACACTATAATAAGTACATTAAAAGATATCATCTCAAGCATAAAGATAAGAATGTGATAAACTTTAGGAAGTCTCATTCGTTAAATAAGATGAAAAGAAAAAAGAAGGATGACAAGCATGTGACTTGTTATGAATGTGGTAAATCCAATCATTAGAAAAATAGTTGTCCAAGTTTTATTAAGTATAAAAACAAGCAAGAGTTCTACAAGATGAAGGAAAAAACGCAAAAAATCGTATAACTTATATAGCTTGGAAATAAGAAGATGATGAAGACTCCGCCACAAAAAGCTCAAGTTCATATGACAACGAGATTACTCATCTATGCTTAATGGCACAACACAAGGAAAAATACCTGAAGGTAAACAATTAAAATTCAAAGTTTTAAGCCTTTTTATAATCAATTATCTAAAGCATTTTGAGAAATGCATGTTGATTCTTTAAACGCTTTTAAGAAGATCTATGTTTAAAAGAAAGTGATTTCAAAATTTGAGAGAGAAACTTTAAATTTTAATAGCACTTTAGAGTCTTTAAAAGAGGAAAATGCATCTCTAGTAAATAAAAATTTGTGTATTTTGATAGTTTAGAAGAAAATGATGATATACTGGAACATGGTACTTGTCAAATTTTGAAACTGGAAATTAAAAACCTAAAAAGACAATTAACACATAATATTAAATAGGCAAAAATATACCCAGAGTCTTTTAAGTTATTTTATTATAACAAGACAGACCTTTATATTTTTTCGCTACAAGTTGGTATTTTATGTTAACTAACTCCGTTTAAAAAAAAGTTTATGTGGCATTAACGGCGTTGATGTTTCATTTAAGGAGATGATGAAGAACATGTTGAAGATGTTGACTATGCTAGTTTATGTCATAATGTTGTTAGTTTTAATTTTTGTAATGTTGATATGCATTTTGGTTCATAAGTGGTGATCATTGTTAATTTTGGTGTTAGTGTCGTAAGATATGACTTTTGGTACCTTCATGTAACACTTGTTGATAATGGTTAATTCTTCCATTCATACCAGTTTTGTGTTGCAATTCTATACCGGTTTTGTTACAGTAAGGTCGTAACTTGTACAACAGACAAAACTTGAAGGACCTGGTTGTTACAATTTAAAACAAATGGGACCTGCTTGTAGCGAAAAAACATAAAGGATTTCCTTATTATAATAAAATAACTAAAAGACTCTGGGTATATTTTTTCCTATTAAGTAACCTAGTGTTATTTCTAGTGATTAATCTGGTAGAAGGCAAAACTTCAGAAAACATTTCAAAAAAAAAAATGCCTATTACGCTAGAATAAATAGAAAAAATAATTATACTAAAGTGGGTGTCACTATTATGGTGGTAAGGGTCAAATTAGGTCTCTATGTCATGTTAGATTGTAAAAGTACATAATCGTCCGATGACATGGACCTCTAAGTGTCCTAGTACTAACCCTCTAGAACCCATCGTGAGTTGGAGACCTAAATTACCTTGTTGTTCTTATTGTAGGAATGTTTTGTTGTCACAAAAAATGTGTGGTTTACATATAGTGGTTGCTTGAGACATATGATGAGGGATGCTTTGATGTTCATCGATTTTTATCACAAAGAACACAATCATATCACATATGGAGACAATAACTAAGGTAAAATATCAGATGAATGTACTGTGAGAAATCCGTCAACAACCATCGTCGTATATTGAGTTCTTTTAGTGAAAAGACTTAAATGTCACTTTTTAAGCGTTATTCAATCATGTGAGAAAAAAAGGATATTCAATTACTTTTGATACTTTGAGTTGCTTAATTGAGCATAAAGTTGATAAAGAGTTTGTGTCTAAGGGTTCTATAGTTGATAACATATGCTTAGTCTATACGATGTTTCAAAGAGCGCCACAAAGTGTCTTGTCACCCTGAATGAAGATTTCTGGTTGTGGCATAGGCATTTGAGTCATGTGCACTTTGATTTGATCAATAAGATAGTTTCTGAGGAATTAATAGTTGGTCTAAAAAAAATCAAAATTTCAAAATAAAAGTTATGCGATGCTTGTCAAATGAGAAAGCAAACAAAAGTGCCTTTTTAAACCAGAAAACATTGTTTTTATATATAATCTCCTCGAGCTTCTCCATCTAGGCCTCTTATCCTTTTAAGGACTACGAGTCTGTTAAGTATTAACAAGTGTGAGTAGTGTGGATAATAGTCCCACACTGGATAAGAATGTGATGACTTGAGCATTTATAAGTGAGAGAATCTATACACCTATTACCTTAAGGTTTTGGGTGAGTATGCGGTGTGTCTCTCACAAAGGTGTTGCTCTAGAAAGGAAAAGTCCCACAATATTCAATACTCCCTAGTTGAAAAATCTCCCCTAACAGTGGTATCAGAGTCTGGTTCGAGTAAAGAGATTAACTTACTTGTATCGAAAGTATCCCCACGGGTCGTGGATTGAGTGTGTCTCGTTGAAGAGTGTCAACGGCGGTATAAGGGTGCAGTTGCATAGTTGAAGCGCCTGGACCATATTCTTAACTTATAAGACATCATTTTGCAACTGCTATTCAATTTTCTAAGCTTGTCCAAAGCTAATTTTCTTTAAGAAGTGATCATGGTGGTAAATTTTTTTTAACATTAGTCCGTAAAAACTCCACAATATAATGGTGTTGTAGAGTGTAAAAACTTAGTTTTGGAAGAATTAACACAAACCATGATAAGTGAGATAAGTATGCCTAAGTACTTTTGAGTGAATGCAATTAACACCGCATGTAACATCTTAAACAATGGTTCATTTTGTCTACACTAGAGAATACCCCATATGAACTACTTAAAGGTAGAAAGCCTAATATTTCATATTCTTATATTTTCGTCGACCAATGCTTTATTTTAAATAATGACAACGACAAGTTATACAAGTTTGATGCTAAAGCTGGATGCAATTAACACCTCATGCAACATCTTAAATAATGGTTCATTCTGTCTACACTATAGAAGACCCCATATGAACTACTTAAAGGTAGAAAGCCTAATATTTCACATTTTTACATTTTTGTCTGCCAATGCTTTATTTTAAATAATGACAATGACAAGTTATGCAAGTTTGATGCTAAAGCTGAAGAGAAAATCTTTCTATGGCACTCCTCATCCAATAAAAAGCTTATAGGGTGTTCAACCTTAAAAACCCTATCGTTGAAGAGTTTGTTCATGTTTCATTTAATGAAACCCGACTCTAAAAGACAGGAAAAATAATTATAGTTTTGATATTTTAGGTGTGTTAATGGATGAGTTTGTTAAATGACAATGATCCCAAAGAGGATCTCCTAAAATTGAGGATATTAAAGTTGATAAAGAGTAAAGCGAATAAGATGATGATAAACAAAAGAGACAGGGTTTTCCTCCATTAAAGGAGGTGCTTTTCTCCATTTATGTCACATTTTGATATTTGTTGAAAGTTATGTTGGTAATTCAAGTATTGTAACCGGTTAACACGGGGGTGTAACTAGTTATAGCAAAGTGAGTAACACTTCCAAGTAGTAGAAAAGTGAAGGTTTCACAGCTGTAACTAGTTAACCTGTGGTGCTAACCGGTTACCACTAAATGACATTTTAATTTAACGTCAGCTATAACCGGTAGCCACTGAATGAAATTTTAATTCAATGCCAGCTGTAACCGGTTAACCAAATGGTGTAACCAGTTATGAGTCCAAATTTTTGTGTTTTCTTTTATTTCATTTGTTTGTATCCCAATTATATTGTAACATTTGTATAAGTATATATGATGCATTCTCATTCTAGGCAAATGCAACAATCACCTCTCTCTCTCTCTCTCTCTCTCTCTCTCTCTCTCTCTCTCTCTCTCTCTCTCTCTCTCTCTCTATCTATCTATCTATCTATCTATCTATCTATCTATCTATCTATATATATATATATATATATATATATATATATATATATATATATATATATATATATATATATATATATATATATATATATATATATATATATATATATATATATATATATATATATATATATATATATATATATATATATATATATATATATATATATATATATATATTTCAATTTTCTCCACCATTGTTCATAATTTTTTTCCAACAATATTAACGAAGTAGATCGATTAATAAAGACAAGTCTATGTCAGATGATCCAGGTCACAACATGACGACTCTAAAGATGTTGCTCGATTCTCTCTTAGAGTCTGATGCTTTTTCTTTTCGAACCCTTTAAAACTACATATTTCTAAACCCAATAAAATTTTCCCAATTTAATATTTTAATTTTATTAAAATAATCATAATATATAAAAAAATATAAATAATTTAAAAAATTACCTCAAGAGTTCCACCATTTCATTTGACGACACTATATTAGGTTTATTTATTTTTAGTGGCAGAAAGTAAGTAAGGTAGATTAGCAAATATAAAAAAACTCAAAGCTTTATTTATACCTATATATAAAGGGAAAACATTATTTTGGTGTTGTTTTTTTTTTCTTTCAAATATATCCTTTTCAGTTTTTATTTTAAATCTTAACTTTACTTTTTAATAAATGGTAGTTATGTAATGATTTGTTATCTTTTATACCATTATCTCTTATTATTATTTTAAAAATAAAATAAATAATAAAATAAAAATTAATTTAAAATAATAATATAATTTATATTTTAAACGTGTGTATTATAAAAAGCAGAATTACGGATAAAGACGGATAAGTAAAAACAAAAATAAAACACCTAAGCTACACTCACTTTAATTTTTTTTAGCAGTTAACAAAAAGTCTAATATGACCGCGTGGATAAAAAAACACAAAAAGCAGAAGAATTTAGTTAAGTAGTAAAAAAATCCATGTCCTAGACACACAGTATAAGTTGTAATAAATAATCATAATCCAGCAACAATACAATACAGGATTCTCATTGTTATCCCAAAAAATCCAACATTTATCCTTTCATCTCTCATCTTTACCTTATCAAAATCCAAACAACCTCTGCACAAATGAAAGCAATGGCGGTTGTCGTACGCTGTTCCTGCTTCCTCTCTCCTCCTCACTCCCCACTCCCTCAATTCTACTCCAACACCACCAATCTTCACCTTTCAGGTTACTTTCTCTAACCCCATTCTTATCCCATTATAATCACACTCAAAATCATAACTTTCTTCATCTTTTACACTTGAAACCTTTTTTTTTTGTTTCTATGATTTTTATGATTGTTTTATTTGTTTTTGAAGATGAAAGTTAGTATGATTTTAGCATTTAGGTCATCAACCAAGAATCTATGGTTGCAAAAATAGCTCAACATAAGCACTTATATAATAATCACTTGTGCTATAGAAGCTTAACTGAGTTTTGTTAAGATAATGAGAATGTGTGGTTTAGTGTATGGTGCTTATTATTATAAGAGAGTGATACTCACATGAGGTTGAACTTGTTGAATGAATCAGGAAAATTCACTTGTCTTTCATTAAAAGTAGACAAGGTTGTGCCACTCTTTAAAGATGCTTTTCATGGAACTTCTAAAACTCCAACTCTGCTTCACTGTTCAAACTGTAAGGTATGTCCATGTACTTGATTTTTTTTACTGTAACAGTCTTAATAGGTTATCCGTGTCTGTGTCGCGTCCCGTGTATATGTCATTGCTTCATAGGTTATGTGAATGATTGTTTATGCATACTTTTCTGACTTGTGAATGAAATTGTTTGCCTTCCCAGGAAGACATGCCTCAAAGATTCCCTTTGCCGTTGATTCTTGCGAGCAATATTTTGATGTTTTCAATGCCTTGTAAAGCTTTGGCCGAAACATGTGAAGCTGATAACTCTATGTTTAGTATGCCTATACTGCTAGCAGTAGCCCTCATTGGAGCCACGGTAGGAGGTAAGGTACTATGAGATTCCGATGTACAGTTATATCACCTCGTGAATGTTAATTCGAGCTATTACTGAAATACGGTCGATGCGTTTTGCTCGTGCTTTTCTTATGGATAAGTGATATCGCATCCTTTTTCTTGAATTGATTGATCATATATGATAGGGTTGGTCGCGAGACAAAGGAAAGGAGAATTGCAGCGATTAAACGAGCAGTTACTCCAGATCAACGCAGCTTTAAGGAAGCAAGCCAAAATTGAATCGTATGCTCCGACTTTGAGCTATGCTCCCATTGGTAGTGGTAGAATACCTGATAGCGAAATTATTGTCGACCCAAAGAAACAAGAACTAATTTCCAAGTTAAAAAGTGGAAAGAACTTTCTAAGGAATCAACAGCCAGATAAAGCGTTCACGGAGTTTAAGTCGGCGCTCGAGCTTGCACAGAATATTAAGGATCCTATCGAGGAGAAAAAAGCGGCCCGGGGTCTAGGTTTGTAATCTTTTCTATTTTGCTTATTAATGCATGTTACCTTAAACGCTCCTACACAGGCGCGGATAAGTTTACAAAGAGCACAACAAATTATCTAAGCATGTGCTTATACAAAACAACTTATAGCATAAGTGCTTATACAAAAACACTTATATGCTATAAGCTGCAAGTAAATCCAAACAAACTATAAGTATATTTGCATGTTTTTATTACAGGAGCTTCATTGCAAAGACAAGGAAAGTACCGAGACGCTGTTAAATACCATTCAATGGTTTTGTCGATCTCCGAAAGAGAAGGAGAAAACTCTGGAAGCACAGAAGCTTTTGGAGCAATTGCTGATTGTTACACTGAGCTTGGAGACCTTGAAAAAGCAGGACAATACTATGACAAATATATTGCAAGGTTGGAAAAGGACTAATCCTTACTCCAAATGTTCAACATTTCTTCTTATTCACAATATTTTTCATGCATTTTATTCCAAGTAAATGTTTTTTTTGAGTTCATTATTTTGTCATTGTTAAGCTGTTATTGAGATTGTAAAGTTGGTGTTACACCTTATTTTGAAGAGATTAAAATTAGAGACGATGTTTATCTTCAATCTCTAGATTGTGGAATGAGGCATAACTTTTTTTAAAAGAATCACAAATTTGGCCCATGAAAGATGTGATCCAATTTGGTTTATTTTAGAATATTATCTCGTATCACTTACACCTTTGAAAAAAATTGGATCTGTGTCAGTGTGTAATTTATATGAAATTTCTATTAATAATATCTCTAAAACATCGCAAGCACAATCCTAATTAAAATAGCAGATTTATATTTTTTTTTCATGTGTCAATTCTCATATTTCTAGAAAATGGGGATTCTGCAGTTTGAAGTTCAGTCGTGAGATAAAAAAAATTTGGTCAGTAATTATATATTTTTAAATGATTAAAACAGTGATTGCAATAATAAGATTCTTGAACTTCAACATTAATTATTAGTATAGGCTCACAAAAGTAGTTTGATCGAGGTGCATGCATAACAAGGATTCCAACCATGTATAGAATTGCAACGTGTGACTGCAATTCAAGAAAAGGTGTCGAGGACTTTCTAAGTCTTGAGTGTAGAGAAAACGTCTATAAACCAATGTAAACTCTCTCATTCTAAGATTATCATATATATATAGCATTGACATTACTCATGAGCCTCTGAGAGATAAGAGATTATACAGGTGGAATGTATGGTTACAAGATGATTTCGGCCAAACAAACTTTTGCATGTTCATTACTATGTTATTCAAAAGCATCCTTAAATGTAAGTTATATATTACATGAACTTTTCCAAATTAAAGTGTCTTCATCATTTTCATAAAGAGGGAGAGTAATTTTAAAAATATCATATGTTATATAGTGCCAAGGTGGTGAAATTCTAAAAAAAATATTCTAATGAATCATTTCTTGGATAGGGTTTTGGGCCGACCGTAGGTCTAATATGGTATTAGGTCAATATTCGCCCATTGCATAAATATCACCGAATGAACAACAAAAAGGTACAATTTGATCCATATTTCACTTTATCTTCTTATCACAAATTGAATTGAGCGTTGGAGTGCTAACTTTGAACACCCAACCCAACCATATCAGAGCAGCTTGCACCACTGTATCAAGGATCTGCACCAATAATTTTAGTTCCCAACACCCAACCCAACCATATCAGAGCAGCTTGCACCACTGTATCAAGGATCTGCACCAATAATTTTAGTTCCCAAACAAAATATTGACGCCGTTTATGAGAATCAATCTTCCAATTCTTACAAATTTCTACAATTAGATATTTCTCGATTCAATTAAAACTCCTCCAGTTTCAAACCTCTACCACTTTAATTGATAAGCTAAGATGGAAACATCTTTGAATCTCCTTCCAAAAGGTCCTTCGAAATTCTCAAAATCAATTTCTTCCTCAACCTTCGTCATAAACACGACCGATGGAGATATGTTCAAACAAGTAGAACCTCCACCGCAAGGATCCATTCAATCAGCCTCTCTAAACAAGAAACATAAAGATGAAAGACCAATAATGAAGTTTCAAGAAACATAAAGATGAAAGACCAATAATGAAGTTTCAAAATTATGATAAGGTAGATGGGACTCAAAATGCGACACTTCCACCAATGATTATCACTAATAATTTTGTCTTAGGGATACTTATAGATGATGGAAATTCTTGCAATGTGATCTACTTTAGAATTTTCACTAAGATTGACTTAACGAAACAAGATATGAGGACATACGAAGACTTGAGCCTTCTGGAGTTCAATTATGCTTCTACTCATTTGTCGTGATAAGTATATTTATCAGTCTCCTTAGGAGAGGGAAATAAGAAGAGAATGATGAAAGTTTATTTCTTTGTGATTCCATGTGAAAGTGTCTATAATAGTATCCTCGGTGGCTCTACACGTCGTGGCCTCCCCCATCCACTTGAGGATAAAGTACTACAATGATTTCGGCAGACCTGTTCTAGTCAAAGTCGACCTCTGTGGAGAATGTTGAATACAATAAGTAATATTGAAGATTCCCTTGTTGTCGACCGTCATTCTTAAAGGAAGATGCAGAGAAGTTGATGAAGCGTCATACGTAGTTGACATTGACGTCTTATCTCTAAAAGCTTAAACCACCTAAGCATAGTTTCCACCATCTTATCTATCACATGTGTTATCCAAACACTCTATCTAATAATGTCATTTATAATTGTCTTTCGTCTAGTCTTACCACACAACTAATACAACATCCGCATATCTGCTACACTTAGTTTAATTTCTTGTTGGTTCTTTAGAGCTCAACATTTTCTCATACAACATAGTCGATCTTATAGCTTTCCAATAAAAAATTTCTTTTAGTTGGAGTTGGTTTAGTATCACATAACACACTTGATACCTCATCAATTTCAACCACCCAACTTGAAATTGACTATTTAAGTCTTCTTATATTTTTCCATTATTTTGTATTATACAACTAAGATATTTGATTCGCGTAATATGATCTTGAAATCTCACTTCTAAATTATAAAAGCTTAACCTTTTGCTAAAATTACATCTCATATGCTAAGTCATAAAAAATAATTAAATAAAAACCAAATTGATAGTAAATGATTATAATACGATAATTTAATTTGTGGCAAATAATTATATATATAAATATTAAAATACTAAATGATAAAATCAGCATTTTTTAATATATAATATTTATATTAATTTTAAAATGATTAAGTTCGGACTTTGATTTGGTTGAATCATATTTTCTCTATGTCAGAATAAGAGTTTTATTAGTCAAAACTTTTATTTTTAAAATGAGTGTTTGTTTACTTTTTCTTTTTACAACTTAATAACCTTTTACCAACTTTAGACTTAATAAATATTATCTTCGGTGATATCTTTTACACGCAATTGTATTTTTGAGTTGGACAAGATTACAATTGATGATAAAATTCTCTTTTAAAAAAATTAACACTTAACAATGATGTATGTCCATGATTGAATTCCGACCTATAATATTTGATTAAACTGAAAGAGATTAGTTATAGCAATTAATAGAAATTAAGGACACTATTATAAAATTGTTTCATTACTCAATATATTTTTGTTAATGTGTGTAACAAAGATTAATTATTAATTCAGATTTATTTTCACCTTAAAACCTAACAAACCAATCTATTACACATCTAGAAACACCCTTTTTGAAAGATGAATACCCTAGAAATACTATGCAATTTATATTTATTTATATTTTGAGAAATGGTGTACTTTTGCTTGAAGGAAAAGCATATTTATTTATATTTTGGGAAATGGTGTACTTTTGCTTGAAGGAAAAGCAACTTTCTATTTGGGGATATGTTAGATGAATACCATTAATGCTCACTTTTAATTAATGTACTTGGTTGCTATTAATGTTTCATACTAGCCCTCGTGACTTCATGAGCTAGTCAATGTTAGTAGTATTGTTTCTTCCATAAGATGTAGATATTGACAAATTACAAAATAAAAATTTCCTAAATTAAGTTACTTTTTCATTTCATTATTACAAAAAGTTACATAGATTTTAAAAGTTAAGTAAACACTTCCAAAATTTTCTCAACAACAAAAATTATTTCTCAAAAAATATTAATTAAATTTTTATAAGGATAATTAGAATACTAGTAATTGATATGGGATTGTAATGACAATAATCATTGCATCATAACAGTAACACCCAAATGGGTGTGAGAAGAAAACATTTCTTAAAATCATCATAAAACTCATCATCACAACTAACTAGAAAACCGCAACATGATACAAACACATACAAATGTTTGCTCTAATTTGGTAGGTGTAACTACATCACCATCAATTAAGAAAAAAGAAAATAGCTCCCTGAAGTTTTAACACCAACCAATGTGTGCAGGATATATATAGAGATAGCTTATTATATTTTACTGATAGTACATCATTTGCTGTGCAGCAGCAACATTTTGGAACCCGCCGTCATAAATCGCCTGGCTTGCTCCGATTGCAGTCTGCTTAAGAGGATGTTGCGCTTGGGGATGCATCAATGCAGCATGAACACCGCCCATCTTGCTCATTGCTATCTGCCTCTCGTAGCCCAAAATATCAGTTGCAGAAAGACCTGGCAAAGGCGCAGCAGCAGGTGGGGGAAGAGGATTTGAAGCAGTTCCGGGTGGAGTGGGCTTGCTCCCCCAGGAGCACTGTATTTAAACACAAAATAGACAGTATTCATGAATAATAATAAACAATGAGAAGTAGAGATACAAACTTATTGCAATTCCTGTATATTACACTGAGCACAGGTTACGAAAGCATGTCAATTGCCGTTGTGGAAAACCCACCTTAATTAGTTTACCGCAGAGATAAGACTGGGCATTTCCCATCTGAATTGCCAGAGCTGCTTCAGCATGAGTACTAAATCTCACAAACCCAAATCCTTTATCACGCTGGACACGGACCTCCTCTATCACACCAGCCCCAAGGGTATAGAAATGACGATGGAGATCAAGCTGTGTTGCCTGTAGAATCAACAAAAGGTTGTAATGATTAAAATGAGAACATCAATTTCCACCGATTTCAAAGATACAGCTCATGAGTAAACATCACATATATCAAAATCAAAAGGCAGAAACTTAAAAGCTAAAGTCTGCATCTCTACCAAAATGACCAAGACGGAAATGCAAAATAAAACAATAAGCTAAAACTGGTGAATGAATGCAAATATTGGATATAAATGGGTCTATGGATTTCAAAATATTACTTTTGTTGCATCATAATAAGCTTGAAAAATTATCAATACAGTTGATTGATGAACTATTATGTTCAAACAACAAATTGAAAAATAGAAATGGAGTTTCTTACCTCAGAACCAAGGTTACCCACATAAACAGTTGTGTATTGAGGATTGTTCTCAGGAGCATCATTGTTAGGTGTGTCTTTACCATCCTCTGTAGGATAGAAAAAATGTTAATTGCATGCCAAGTATTCCTTCTGTTAGCTATGAAAACAGAAGTCTTAATGAACAGTGAACACTAATTTTTGAAAGTTCAATCACCTAAAAATCTTTAGGTCAATGGTAAAAAGATGACAGCAAAGTTTAAGTAAGCCCCCAGATCTATTTTTAAATCAAGAAATATATAAGTTAAATGTGAAAGTATTTGATTCAAACATTCCTTTTTTGTTTCAGGAACTACAGCATAATTTAATTACCAGATGAGCCATTTGTTAGTTCCACCACACTTTTGTTTTCTGGGGTTTGTTTCTCTTCGATGCCGCCAGCACCTTTTGTTGCCCAATTGCAGCGTATCTGTCTGCTTCCAAGCCACTTACCTGAAAGGCACAGGCACGTCGTAATTATGCCTCAATCATGCATGAAAAAATATGTGAAACTTGTAGAAACACTTAAAGAGCACATATACCAGAAGTGGTAATGCTGAAAAGTCTATAGGACATTAATTGTCATGAATTTTAAAACAACTAAACATAGAAAGTATACATCAATTCATATGAAATATCCTAATGCGCAATTCCCATGAACGGGATGTTAATTCATATGAAATATCATTGGAGAATTCTCCAAATTATAATTGGTTCAAATAGATTAAGGCTGCTAAGACAATGATAAATTTCTTACCGGTCAAATCATTTATAGCACTTTGAGCATCCTACAAAATGACAAAATATTAAAGTCAACAACATCATAAAGTTTCCCTACTCAGAATTTAAAAAAAATCAAGAATTAAAGAAAAACAAATAGACCTGCTGACTACGGAATGAAACAAATCCAAAACCCCTTGAACGCCCTGTCTTCTGATCCCACATAACCCTTGCATCTCTGAACCATCAAAAAGATAAAAGTAAGACACACCAAGACACCAATAAAATTGGTTAGCGTGCAATGCACAATTATTGCACAAGGTAGCACAAACACACTTCTTGAATTTTTAATAAAAGAAGATTGCTCCAATTCCAAACGTATAAAATGGATGGCTGTTTAACTAAAAAATCATAGGAGAACGAAGCTTACGAACAACTTTGGTAGACAGAAAAGCATGCAAAAAGTGTAGCATCAGTAACCTCAGGACTGAGGTCACCAACAAATATGTTGTAATGGCCTGCAAATTTAACGAAAGATATTAAATAATATCTTCACCAAAAGTTCCCCAATGGTCACAGTTTGTTCGAAACATATATCTCGTATAATCATCTCTAAACCAACCTGATGTATCCTCTCTCTGACCACTAGCATATGCCCAGTTAACTTTAATAGGTTGCCCAAAACTACAAACCAATGAATTGAACTTTGAGTGTAAATCCAAACCAATCTAACACAGCTATTAAAAAAAAATGCACTTACAGATGCCTTCCATTGAGAGTTAATATGGCCAGAGCAGCAGATCTGCGATCAAAGTAATGAATGAATCCATAGGATGACTGCATAACAGGGGATTATGATGTCAAATACAAAACTACAGCTGTATCTAGTACTTTAAACCGATATATTAGACAAAGACATGGTAAAAATATCAGAAACATACCTTCTCTTTTCTAAAAAGTTTACACCCTTCAACAGGGCCAGTACCTGCAAAAACTTCTTGCAGAAGTGGCTCGGTCACCTGGGTATGAACGTTGCCCACATACCTGCATTTTCTCAAAGATAAAGAAGCTACAATTTAAAAAAGAAGAAGAGAAGAAAGAAACAATTAGGTTACAACCAAGAAGTAACATAAAGGCAATGCTTTAATACAACAAAATTGGTTTTTCGTGTTGCAAGAAATAAACTTAGGTAATATATAAAAGATCAGCAGCTCAAATACATCTAATTTTGAATAGTTAATAGAAGATAAAATAAAGGAAACAGTGCCTAAGCTTGTCTGCGTCACAACCATAAAACAAAAGAAAAGGAAAGTGAGGGATTAGATAGAAAAGTAAAGGGTGAAAAAAATGTCTAGACAAAAACTCACACACTGCGGCAAGTACTTGGATCAAAACCAGGAGGCAGATTTCCACTTGGAATTGGTTCAATCTGCAAAATGAAAAGGAAAAAAAGAAAAGAAAAAAGGGAAAAAATGAAAAGAAAAAGAAAAAGGGGGCAAATCAAGATAGAATATTTGTATAGTAGAATGAGAAACATTTACAAACTCATGAAAAAGCTCATTGCTAATTCTAACAAAAGAAAATGAAACTGGATTCACTGCACGAAACGCATCCACAGTTCGAATAAAATCTAAACGCATTAAGAAAAACAGAAATCCTATCTAACTAAGTCAAATTCAACACTGCATCAAACAAAACAGATAACATTTCTTAAACAATGCAGATTCCTTCTCCAACTTAACCTCAAAGGAAACAACACCATACCTTAATTACAAACTTAAAACACCTAAACTCTCTTTCATCACTTGCTCTCTAAAGAAGAAACGATAACAAAAAAAAGTAGCAAAACAGGTAACATTCAATGTTATCTTATCAATGGTGGAAAGCTAAAAATCCACCATATGGCGCCGCCATAAAACGCCATGGCACCACAATCCTTACAAATTGGCCATGGCAGCTGTCAAAAATTCTTCACCTCACCTTATTTAAGAACAGTGTCTCGTACAAAAAAAGAAAATGAACATGTGCAATTTAACTTCAAAAAATCTTTTTTTTCAACATCCACCAAAATAAAAACACGAAAAAGATTTCTATTTAAAAAAAAAATCATTTCTCCAGCAGAAAATAAAAATAAACCAAACTCAGCTTCTTCTGAATAATAAAATACTATATTTAGCAACAAAGTAAAAACCCTAGGTATTTCGGTAAACCCCTAAATAGCAAAAAAAATGCAGAGCTATAAGATCGAGAGCATGAAAGACTGTAAAAATGATAAGATGATCGAAGAAATGATGGCGAAAAGAAACCAACCTGAGGTGGAGCTAGGAGACCAGGGTGGTAGAGAGACTGTTGTTGCATCAGAGCTTGTTGCATCATAGCTTGCTGTTGTTGCTGATGCTGCTGCTTCAACCTGTGATTCTGCATTTCGAGGTTGTTGACAGTTTTCCGGGAGGAAATTTGGCCGGAAAATGGGTGATAGGGTGGAGATTAGGGCTACCCTCTTTACAAGAGACACAGGCAGGCCTCTGAGAAAACAGCAGAGGACTCCACACAAAACCCCTCGCCGACTATTCATAAAAGCTAATAGTACATTTTTTTTTAGATTTATTTATTTTATGTTTTAAATATTCTCATTCTATCCGTCTAATGTCATTTTTCTTTTAAAAAAATAGTAAGTGAGATATAATAAAGGCTTAAATACATTTGATCCTTTTTTTACTCCATAAAATAAAATAAAAGTACGAGTGTTTTCAACGCTGGAATAAGCGCGGAGTGTTGTGGACGAGTCCTTGACTTATCCGCCAATTGTAAAGTTATGTTTGTTGATTTTATTTCATGTTTTCAATTCTTTTTACCATTGACAATGGACTCAAGTTTATCCTTGCACCTATATCAACCAAAGCTTTACAATTGAAATAATTACATATAGTTACAGGTAGATCCACTCTTCCCGGATCACCTTGTTTCCGCAAAAGAACATTTTGGATGATAGCATTACAATTAGCATTAACCAAAATGGTTTATTTGTCCATAAATCTCTTCTTTTTTGTGAGTATGTCTTTCATGAATTTGACATACCTGGACATTTGTTCGAGAGCTTCGGAAAATGGAATGCTTATTTACAAATAGCTAAAAATATCCAAGAACCTAGCATAATGCCTCTCATTACCTTTTTTTATGTAGGAGCATGCAGATATAGTAAGTTTTAAATTGGAATATCACTTACATTCCCCTTCACTTTTCTTCTCTTCTTTATCTCTTCTCTAATTTTCTTTTCAACTTCTTCAACTAAAACATCCTCCACATTTTTTTCAACCTCTTCTTCAACAATTTCATTTTTCTCTTCAACTACAATCTTCTCTTCTACAACTTTCTCACCGATGTGCGTATCAATCTCCCTACTACTTATAGTAAAGATAGCTTTGCAATGCTCTTTAGGATTCCTAATAGAAGCATTAATGTTCTTTTGGTTGGAAATCGACATTTGCATAAATTAAGTGAATGTATCTTCCAATTTTGAATTTCCACCTTGAGCTTGTGGAGGTTTAGTGTATTTTTGGTATTGGTTTTGATGATTTGAAGTGTCGGTATCTTGCCTTCATCCTTGTTAATAACCTTGGTTATTACCTCTTGGTTGGTAACCTTGTTGATGCGGAGGTTGCCTCAGTTGATAGCCTTGATTTTAATTTTGGTTTCCCATGTAATTTTCCTCTTCTACAACCGGAAAACAATGCCCGATAGGATGATCTCCTTTGCATAATTCACAACTTGCAATTTGTTGATTCTTGTTGGGAACTTTGCACATCTCCTTGATTTATTGTGGACGTTTTGACATTTGTTGTGTCAACAACACCACTTGTTGTGAAAGAAAATTGTTTTGAGCAATAAATGTGTCATTAGTACCCAATTCAAGTACTCCCGACTTCCTTTGAGTTGCACTATAGTTATGTTGACCTTGATGGTTATTGAGCACTATCTTATCAATGATGGAAACTGCGTCCTCCACACTCTTTACATTAATATCCACCCGAGGTAGCATCTAAGAGAGTTTTGTGAACCGCTTGGAGTCCATTCTGAAATATGTGCATTTGTGTAAGATCATCAAATCCATGGCCTTTACATTTCCTCAACATTGATTTGAACCTCTCCCAAGATTCATTTCCACCTTGAGCAAATACAAAAATTGTCATCTTAGCCTCCATAAATCTATTGTGAGGAAAGATTCTTTCAAGAAACTTCTCCTCCAAAAAATTACAATCCGTCACCATAAGAATAGATTGAACAATTCATAGCTTTCCCTGTCAATGAGTGTGAGAATAGTCTTTTGAACAATGATTCTTCTTCCGAATTCGGTGCTCCCGTAATTTCATATAATTTAGTCAAATGGGTTAACGGGTTTTCATGATCTAGCCCTGTAAAGGGATTTGAATATAAAAGTTGAAGAATTCCCATCTTCATCTTCGCGTGCCTTCTTTTGTTTGCATTGTGAGCAAACAGAGCATTGTGTCTTGGACTATTAGTGTACGATCCTCTAGAAGGTGGTAGTGGTACTTCTTCCATGATTGACGTAATAATGGGTATAGTTGGTGGATTACTTGAAGAAGTTCCTTCGCGCTCCGTTCTTTATTTAGCTAGTAGCCTTCGTCTTCTGGTTTTGCTATTAAGTTTTCGCGCAGTTCTATCAATCATAGGATCAAATAGAAGTTGGTCTGCGGGCACACTTCCTCACATAAACATATTTTTGAAACACTAACCCAGCAAACTAACAAGCACAAGGAATATAAATAGGGGTGAGAGATAACAATACAAAGCTTAAAATAAGATAAATTATTGCAATGCTTGCAATATGCTGGCAACAACGCCATTTTGTTAAAACTTTTTACTATAGGGGGTTTTGAAAGTCGTCTCCATATGGATTTAGTGATATCACTTGTTGTTCTGCAGTTTATAATGTTTTAAGTAGGGTTTTCAAAGTTTGTTTGTTTTGGATCATAAGCTTATCATGATTTTTGCAGAAAATATTAAATTCTAAAAAATATTTGTTTAACAATACGTATCAAAGATATATTTCATCAACCTAACTTGTATATATTTGATAAATCAAGCATGTGAATTCATTTCCGATTAACGTAATCATGTATCCTCTCAATACCATCTATGTCTAAAACGGTGTCGTGAATATTATTGTTTCTGTCATTGGATGATGTCTCATGCTAGCAACAAATACAATAATATTTAAGATCAACACAAAGAAAATATCAACTCACAAGTTTATGTCTAGAGTTTGTTTGTTAATAGTTGAATATTTTAGATCAAGGTTTGTAAAATCTATGTTAGAGTGATACAAATCATAAATAGATCTTTAATAACAAAAACGTTCAACATATATTAATCATCCACTTGTTCGTATACAAATAGACCAAAAGAAATATATACAAGCTAAGATAGACTACATCTACCTTTGATACAAAGGATTTAGCTACCCACAGTCATGGTAGCTTAATTTATAAGAAAAGAAAGAATATGAACGAGCATCCAAGATGAAGAACCGATCTAGGATGCAATCCAACTTCTCCTTATAAAATATCACTCCTTGATGAAGAAATGATGAACTTAGGTTTTTTTTCTTCTCTGAAGTTAATGTTACTATTTTGAAAAATGAAGTCATGAGGTCATGATCCCCCTCAAAAGTGCTAAATAATACAAAAATATCTAAACATAATATGTCCTGCTCGCATTGTGAGCTCCGTGTTTGCATTGCGAGCTCCTTGTTTGCACTGCGAACTTCACTAATAGGCACATGAAGTGCATCTGAATAGTTAAACCGCCCCCGAGGTTTTCTTGACTTCGCACTGCGAACTTTTTGGCTTAGGCCTCGCACTGCTGTCAGCAAGGGGTTTAGCTACTTCCATCCGAATGTTCTAGCTCGCGTTGGCTTCACCTTGAGCTCTCACTGCGAGTTTGCCAGTGCTCTGCTACTTGTTCGAACGAATATGATGGATTCTTCATAAATTCTTTGGCTTCCTTGTCCATTCAATTGTGCCTTGTTCTTGAATAATCCAATCTATTTCCTACACAACAACATACATATCAAGACACCTAAAGGTAAAATAAATTCCATTGAAGAATCGCATAAAAACATGGAATAAATCAATTGAAACTTGAGAAATGAGTTGAAAAATGCCAAAAATTAAGGTTCAAAATAAGACATATTTGACATTCAACACGCGTTCGTTTTAATTTTTTGACTGCTTTTCAGTCGCATTTTGATCAGTCTGAGTCATTTAACCGGGAAAAGTTTTATTTTAAAATTTGACCAAACGCTGTATTTTTCTTAGTCATTTATTTCGCGCTGATCATTTTGGTGCATTCATTTTATTTTTTCGAGCACTTTGATATCAAACTATTTATTTGTTTTTAACCAGTTTCATTTTAATTTTTAGTTAAATAATCATTTAATTCAATTAGTATTAATCAGATTTTAATTTAGGTTTATTTTAAATAGTTAATTTTATTTTTAATTCATTTATCACATTTTTTAAAAAATTAGTAATTTATTTTTTATCTCTTTTTTGTAACACTTAATTCTTAAGTTTTGTAAAGAAGTTTGTTTTGTTCCTTGATTCGGAAACCTAGTATTATTAATATATTACATTGCATTAAGGACCAATGGACGCATACGCAACAAGGGGCTCCCATTCACGATATTCCCCCATTATTCCTCCCCCTCCATCAACAGACACCAGCAACCTAGCATCTGCTCACCCTTCATTTCACATTCGTCATCCACCACCATTATTGACTCCTTGACCCACCTTCAAACCATGGTCGTCTTTCTCCACCATAAAACACTCATAACAACATTTCAAACACGACCTCTAACTACACCACTTTCAACATCATACCTTTTTTGGGAAAAAAAAACAAGACAAATAAAATCAAAGTCATCACCAAAATCTGAAATAAAAAAGAAGCATAAAAGAGCAGGAGGAGTATTCGTGAGAAGTATTCAACAAAAGTGAATTAGAAGAAACTAAAACCACAATGAGTTGTCATTTCTTCGCCGACGCCTTCGAATCCACCGTCTACGTGAAGTTGCTCCTTCCTTGCGACTACCGCTTAGCCATTGTGCAAACGGTCACGTCTCTGCAGCTATCACCTCCCTCTCACCGGGCGGAACACAAACTTTCCTCCTCCGCTCACGACCCATACATTTTGGCTTTCTCAAAGGTAAATGTCACTCTCATGTTTTATTGTATTTGTTTCTAATATCTACTAAAGATAAAGAGTATTTAAATATATTTAAACTTAGGTAAGGCTGATTCCCAGGTTCGATTATAATATTATATAATTGCAACATTTTCTAAATAAAAAGTTATTACTTTTAGTGAAAAAAAACCAAATTTATATTTTTAATTATTTAT